TTGGAACGAGTTTAAATCTGGCCTGGATTACCTTTCATTCTGAAAACTAAATGAGTCTTAAAGTAATGTGATATTCTTTATTGACTTGTAAATCTATTCCGCAAGAAGTTCTCATTGCCCTTCAGTAAGCCCTGGGGGTTAGCACATAGATCAAGTCGATCTGGCGCCATATTGGGCCCTCCTAAGGCTTGACGGCGCAGTCCTGCTGGGGCAGTGGTTAGCTTCTCTGGAATGGGCACGACTATGGCTCTTTCTCAGTGGGCTCACCTGTGAGCTCTCTTCCAATTCTTTTGTCTTCGTGAGTGAGTCCAGGCTTGCATTCACTTGTTGAAACATCACAAGAGGTATTCTAGCAATTCCTAGAGTCTTATTTTGCCACGATTTTCAATGTACCTTGAACTTGTATCTTCACTCCTTTGGGCTATTGAGCATATGTTACCTTTTGAAATTGGGTGGTTTTGTTTTGTTTTTTCTTTTTGCTACCAATCACTTTTGGCCCAGTGACTTCTAGTGTCTTTTGGTATTTGGGGGATCATTTGGTATCCTTCAACATTTCAACTCAAGACTTGGAATATTTTCATCAGTTCTTTCAACTTGAGAAATGCCAGGTCTCTGCATAATCCACTATGATACTTGGTCCCCTTGGGTCAACCTGTGGAGTCTTCCGTTCTGCTTTTGTAACTCAGCATTGCTTTCATTTGCTTTAACTACTCGACATTTAAGAACTCTCTTTACTCAATTATAACGAATGGCCTGGTAGCCTTACCACAACCAAGGCTACCACTAGTCAAGCTAGTGTTTACCTCGGTTTCTACTTGTATAAATAATCCTAAACTTCTATCTTTGGAAAAGCAACCATCACCTGACTTTCCTCCCTCTTGCTCGCATGGCTCTTTTCTGTGCTTTCTGAATTGTTGAGGTCGACGTTTCACAAAGAAATCACAACTGTTTGTCAGCTCACTGGATGGAGATGTGGAGTGACTCACAAGTTATTTCCATGCGAATGATCTACTTCTATATGCCAAACACGCAATATTTCTTTAAGATTTATGTTAATGTATGCAATAGAAATTTTAGCTAAGTCATGACCAAATAAAGTACCCGTATGAAATCCACATGCACCCCATCAATAGTTAATTGAGAAATATCTCCAAGTAGAGTATAGATTATCTCACTTCCCCAATTAAGGATCCCCTGCTAGTTTTAATTCTGGAGTCAAAACCCTCTTCTCCGGATGGGCATTCTGGAAGTTTCTTGCTTCTTTTATACCTTCACCCTTCCTTACCTTCTGCCCTCAAATCGAGATTTAACAGAGTAGTTAAATCTCTTCCTAAACACTATACACCCACTCCTCATTTATTGACAGGGTCATGTTCCGGTCACTATGTGAGAATCGGCGTTCAGTGAAACCTCAAGATGCAACAGGGACCAATTTGGAGTTGAGCATGTGCAGTTGTTCTCTTACTTGCCTCCACCATCAACTGCTGTGGGCAGCCAGGCAGTTGAAGCCATTTCAAAGTACAGGTGGGGCTGACTGAGTCAGAATTTTCAGCTAGAAGGGGACTGCCCAATCCTGATCCGTGAGATCTTACTCTCCGTAGAAAGGCTCACTTGCCCTGGACTGCCAGCTGATGAACTCTGCACCCTCAAGCATGTCGGCAGTGGATTTGGGGCGTCTGTGGCAAAGTGACTACCGTGTACTGGGTGTGCATGCCTCTGCCCGCTTCCCAGAGACTTTCAATGCAAAGCTGTAGCTCTGCTCAAATGGTGGGGCAGCCACCAGCCTGTGGGCCTGGCCAAGATTTGATGAGGCTCTGGTGCTGCAGTGTTAATTGTCTGAGGTCTAGATATCGGGCCTTTCTTATTTTACTCTCTCACATTCATTGGGTCTTTAAGGTTAGTAGCTTGAAACCACCATCTGCTCTGTAGGATAAAAATGAGGCTTCTACTCCATAATGAGTTACAGTCTTGAAAATCCACAATGGCAATGATAACTGGTCCCGGAGTCAGAGTGAGTTTGCTTTGGGTTTTAGTTTTAAGACTGGAGAGATGGAAAGATCAAGGATACAGGAGAAAGGCCCTCTTTCACTGAAAACACATGAAATCTTTACCTGGCTTTAAGGTGATTTAAGTAAACAGTTTCAATTGTTGTAAACACAAAATATTGGGTAACAAGATAGTTGGTGAGGAATATGTGTAGGATAAATGTATCTCCTTGTGGAGGGAGGTCAGATGTGCAGGCATTCCCTCCACTGAGGGCAATCAGTTGCCAGACTGCTGACTCATCCCACCACAGGGGTGGGCCTGCTCCCTGCCTCTGGGGACAATGGACAGGCTCCTGTAGGAGGAGTTTTCACCCTACTGATAATGGTTCCTATGGCAACCCAGAGACCAACCCCTAGACCACCCACTCAGTGCTGTGTAACCTATAGTGCAGCTCCTCCCTGTGATGTATGTCTCTACCTGTAATTAGTGGGCTGGCTTGCCCCCCAAAGGTATATAGGTGTGAGTCAGCAATATAGATCTCTCTCTGACCTCCTTGCTGCTCACTCCCTGGTCACTCCCCTCTCTTCCCCCTCTCCCTTGTTCCCTTGTCCCCCTTCCCTTCTCCCTCTCTCCACGTGGACCACCAAGCTGGGTTGAGGTGAGCAATGCTACCATGTAATATGGCTGACTGTATTATTGTATTATCTCTCATGCTCTCGATGATTTTAATATAATGTTTATATATCTCAACCGTACAATTGTGCATTACTGAACCCAGAAGTTGTATTACTGAACCAGTGAGTTCAAGCAGCGGGTGGGGCTGGCACCCCACTCCCCCTCTCCACTTTTAATCTAATACTACATCTCCTCAGTGCGCTTCATTACATAGACTGTGTGCGACAGACGTATGTATGATATGTAAACGATATAAAGTGTCATCACACACATAGACACATCTTTCCTTAAGATACTAAGCACCTTGAGGAAAGAGCCCATGTTTTATTTCTGTCAATCTAGTGCTTTCTATGGGTCTGCTCGGGCTACAAATAAATGTTGCTGAATGAGTAACAGCTGAATTCTCTTAAAGGTAGTAGTAGCCCTTTTTATGCACAGGTTACTTATCTGGAAAAAGCATGGTTTACACTTATTAACCAAATAATGTCCTACGAATTGTGCAGCAACAAGCCAGCCGGACTCCAGTCCTCTCTGAAGGAAAGTGAAGAAACGAGGGTGTGTACCGGACTCCGTGCTCCACATCCAGTCAGGGAGAAGGACGTCGAAGTCACAGAATTTCCTGGCTGACAATTGCGTACTCTATCAGCCTACGTCTTTCACGCGAGCGTTTCATTCTCTCTGCACATAATCAGGTTCTTTGGTGGTAAGCCTTGTACTGAGAAGGAATATACATTCCACACGACCAAGAAATGGGTCTGGTTTCCCCCTTGCTTTCGTCAACGGACCATCAGCGTCATGATACGTGCCCCCATCTTTCCAGTCCAGATGGTGGACAACATGCACCACCATCTGTGGTGGTGACTGAAAAACCATGCAGGTTGCCCAGCTTGTAGGCAGTGTGTAAGCACAGGGCTGTATGCACTTCTCCCTCTGTGAAGAAGAAAAGCATAATATTTAACAACAGCTCTACGTATTGTGAGGGATAATTAGATGTAATGGAGGAAGAGAGACGAGCTGATTAGGCACTATTCAAATCTAAAGTATCATGATTTTGTATCTAAAAATAATCCTGACTTGTAGGTCTAAAATTAATTTGGAAGATCAATCGGTGGCAATCATCTTCCCATACTTTAAAAAAAGTAGTGGTTTTTAATCAAAATCCCATTTAAACACAGTTCAAGAAGAAAAATGACGATGATGAATTTCCATTCATCTCACAATAAGGCCGTAGACAGTCCGTTTCTCTAGCTTCTCTCTCTCGTTGGTTTCTTGCCTCTTCCTTTTGTACCTGGCACTATGTGTCAAGAAGCGGTATTTGTGGAATGAGGTAATGTGGGCCAATAAGGATCTGCTTATACAGTTTTATTCTTATTTTATGGTGAACATGAAAACTGTATTTGTGGCTTCAAGAAGCAATAGTCGTTTTGTGGCTGAAATAACTTTTTAGGTTGTTTCTGATCTTACAGCTTAAGAACTAAAGTCATCTAAGAAAGATTACAGTACTGTCCAAAATAAAAACAAACAAAACTCTGCATAAAGACTCTACCAGGGTTTCCAAAAGTGGGCAATTCTACACTCCCTGGGGGTGGTGGTGGTGGTGAGGGCTGCAGAAGCAGATATCTACACTTTGCCTTTCATCATGGGCTATAGCACAGAAAGTATTTAAATGCCAGGGGGATGCTGAGTAGAGGGCAATAGGTCAAATGATATGGGAACATATGGACTATACTATATTTTTTCTTTTCATTAGTTGGGTTTAATACATATATCATATCAGTACATAATGGTCATAGGAAACTAAAGTACAAGGAGATTGGATTTGGAGGGGGGGGCAGGGTGTTGTATAAATGCACAAAATTCATGTCAAATGCCAAAGTCAGGAAAACAAATATAAATATCTATTCACAAAATGAATGTAACAGGATCGTTTACTGTGAAAATTGTTACAAGAAATTAAGAGTTCATATTTGAGAAAAATCTATGCTGTTACCCAAATCTCATTAAACAGCCAGTAGTATATTTAATAATAGGAACATTGTCTTCTGAGGTAATAAATCATTGATAATTTCTGGAAATAGCTGTCAAGGAAATTTGTTGTTAGCTCCACCTAATTCACAATAAAAAGTTAAAGGAAAGAACAATTGCTGAATTCACACTTTCTTGAAAGATGATTTGAGCTGGAATGTGGCTTTCCTAATACTGATTCAGAACTGTCTCAAAGAAGAGGGCGAACTCCAGTTAAGCGGTTTATCAGTACAGAAAAACAAGTGCTCACGTGGCTCTATTCAAATTTCCCCTGTGACTTTCTAGTATGCAAAACTTAAAGAGTTTATACTCACCAAGCAAATTTCTGATTATTCATCCGATTTCCACGCACCCTCGATACTGGTGATGGATGTACCCTGTAGGCAGAGGAGAGGAACCAATCAGTGGAAAAACGTATTTCCAATTCCAAATGAAAAGAAACGAGGCGTCCGATTTATAAATCAATCTCTCTAGTATTCCCTGGATAGGAAATTTCCTTGAATTTGATCATCTCTTCGTGAACTTCTATGCCTGCAAGCCTGCATCTCTTCCCATCTTTACCACTCTTAAAGTAGCCTGGATTTCCCAGCATGCTCATTTTGAACACCACCAGAAGCAAAGTAAAACAAAACCAAACTCAAGCCAATACCAACTCATAGCGACCCTCGGGGGCAGGGAAGAACTGGCCCTGTGATGTTCCAAGACTGTACAACTGTACAGGAATAGAGTGGCTGGTGGTTTCAAACTGCTTACCTTACAGACTTCAGCTTGATACATAGCCACACCACCAACTGCTGACCTTGTGGATGGCAGCTTGATGCACAACCACACCCACCCAAAGCAGGACTACTTTAAAAAAAACAAAACACCCCACCAAAAAACAGTTTCATTCAATGTGTTATTGCAATTCAGGTTCCTGTCGTACTAAGAGAAAGATTTACTTTTGAAATTCTCTCACAAGAGAATTTTATTTATAAACTAGGAGGAAGAAATCCTTACCAGCTAGCATGCTGGATTCAGCACTTCTTGCCCTCCTCCCACTATGGACACCAAGGATTCTGATGGGTTTCTGCAAGAAATTCTCTAGAACCCTGGTGGGGTTGCAAGGGTTTCTGGGAAATGTAGTCCCAAGGTGTTGGCATGGACTCCACCCACGCTCTATCCAAATCGCCCTTGCCCTGTCTCATCTCCAACAGAAAAGTTATTGGATACTTAATTTTAGCCAGGTATAGGGTGGTTAAGAGTTAGGTAAGGCCACCTTCAATAAGTCCTTTTTGATACTAGCTCCCAAAACCATCTAAATACTGATGCAACCTGCAATATCTAGGCTAAGGTGACCAGACGTCCCGCTTTTGGTGGGACAGTCCTGATTTTGAACAATTTCTCCTGCATCCCGCGGCGTTTTTAAAAAGTCCCAATTTTTGGAAAGAATGCATGACAAGCTAGGGTATACGGTTTTCGGCTGCCATGTGCCTATTTCGCCAGGATATGAGTTTTATCAATGGTATCCCGCTTTACCAGTGTTAAAATCTGGTCACCTTAATCTAGACTTAAAACTCTTTTAAGAAGCAAGACCCAAACCCAAACCAAATCTACTGTCATCAGGGACCCTACATGACAGACTGCTAGAAAGAAAAGCCAGCTCACATAGGGTTTACAGGATGGGCGCCCACAGCCTTATCCTTCACCAAGGGGGTGGCTGGGCAGTTCAGCTGTCAACTGACACCGGTGCCAATCAGGGCTCCTTAGAAAGCAAGAGATTGCTACCAGGCACAACATTAACCCTCGCTTCCTGTCTCCTTGCTGCCAACTTTTTATCTGGATATGATTTATAAGATGTAGATAATTTTCTAGCTTGTTACTGTTATTCTTCATGCTTCTGATATTATATTTACAAGACACGAAATCATTTTTTAAAATCTGGAAGGGGCTTTGAAAATGGGTTTAAAGTTGAGTTAGGGCCAACAGCACCAAAGTTCATTAAAACGCCAGTCCTCGTGGCGTTGCTTACAAAGTGACAATCGTTTCCAAACAAATAATACGGCTCCAGCTCCCGGAAGAACCAGCCTCTTCTGCCTTTCTGTAAATTCAGAAAGAGGGCACTTTGCCCTCGGAAGGCTTATTTCTTCCAAGGCCCCTTATTAACATTCTTTTCCTTGCACCACTTCTCAATGGCTGTGGCAGCTGAGCAGCTCGGCACAGATTTTCTGCTTGGCATGGGGGATGGGGTGTTAATTATGCAGAAAGATGGAGAGAGGCCAGACAGCCCCTGTCTCAGTCAAGCAAGGGCCACTTCCTGCTGTTTTGCAACTACAAGGATCACCTGTTGGTCTTGGCTTTGGGCCAAGCTGAGGCCCGGCGGAAATGACAGACCCCGCCAGAAATGAAAGCCAGCTCCTATTCCAGTGTCCCAAATTGTGGGCCGGCAGGTGAGAGAAAACATGCAGTAAGAAAGCACTCGGACCATGCTCTTTCCTTCTCACTGCCTGTAGGCTTGGAATAAGTAACTTCAAAATAGACATCTGAGCCCAAATCATTCTTGTTTTTACCTGCAGGAGAATGCACGCAATCTTCTTGACTCCCCCTTGTCCCCATGCCTACAACAAGACTTTAAGGACCACCCAGCCTCAGGTGCTCCTTCCGCCCTGCATCCTTTTAAACATCAGGGTCCTCTCCTTAACCAAGGAAGCCAGGCTTCTGTTCATCCTATTTCCACCAGGTGGAGCTTGGGGATGGAAACGTTCTCCTTATTGACAGTTATATCCCAGCCCCTGATGAACACTGGATTTATCCGTGACAGGTAAAAGGGGGTGGGAGACTGTTTAGTACAGGATTACCATAGTTACCAGGTATCTGCATGAGGAGCCAATTTCTATGATAGTTTAGTAGTTGTCAAAGAAGTACTGAGTAACACTTTATTGACAAATGAGTTCTTAAATGAAGAATTGTTCTCACCCCGGTCCCAAAGTGAACACACTGACATTTTGGAGCTCGACCGTTGGATGGCACAGATCAGACATAAATGGTTTGCATTCCAGCCGCTGGGAAAGTCTTCACTTGTCTCAAAGGACACGTGGTGTCTTTGTGAGCTCAGGCTTTAAACTCTGACGCTTCGTGCCACAGCTTCCCTTCCTTCCACATCTAGCTGCCTGGGCCTCTCTTTGCAGCCGGCAGGTAGCATAGCCACCCCCAAGGAGGAGGAACCACGGCCTCATCTGCATACCATGCATTATTCATGAGCTCTGGTTCCTGCACCTGCATCCAGGCAGGAAGCTCGCAGGGAAGGCTCATTATTCTTCTGTTAGCCTCACACAGGCTGGAAGGCTGCTAAGCCACTTTGTTCTGTAACTAAGGGTTTAGCCTTAGTCCTCACCGCTGGATATGGAACGGAAAAGTTGGGGGGGGGCATAAAAAGAAAAAAATTAAAATCACCAGGCTGAAGAAAAGGGCAATCTTGGTTGTTATGAAACATGTTTTGAGTATTACAACGGGATCCTCTGAGACTGGCAGTTTTTGTCAGGTGGAAATATTCACATTGGGTGATTTACTTTACATAGGAAAAAAGAAGCTATATCATTAAGGCCATGTATACGAACTGTTCTATTTATATGCACTTAGTCATCGGAACGAGACAGCATGTTTATAATTTTACCCAAGGCAGAGCCTAATTTAGCTCACTTGCTAAGCGTGTGAGAACATTTTAGACATCTTAATTCAAAAACTCTTCCTCCTCTGGGTTGGAAGCATCCAAGGACCTGACCTCAAGCTGTGTATTTTAATGATTAGGATTCTAGCTAATCAAGAGGCTACAACCACTCTGCCTTCCGGAACAGACCTGGGCATCTTCAAAGGCTGTGGCTGGAGGTGGGGGGTGAAGGCCAAATGCCCAGCACATATTTACTAAGCACGAATACGTTCCTTGGGAAGGTGACTGGTCACAACTTTTTTTTTTTAAACGAACTGAGCTGAAGAAAAGGTGTGACAATTTAATCAATTTCATAGTCTCTAAGGCAACATTTCTCAACCTGTGGGTCACGACCTCTTTGGGGGTTGAACGACCTTTTCACAGGGGTCGCCCGATTCATAACAGTAGCAAAATGACAGTGATGAAGTAACAATGAAAATAATTTTATGGTTGGGGTCACCACCACACGAGGGTCCCGGCATTAGTAAGGCTGAGAACCACTGCTCTAAGGGAATTAGGATGGAGTGCTCAGGAGTGCAAACTCAGGGACCAGCTTGCGTGGGTCTGGACCCCCAACTCCGCCATGTACTGCTGTGTCACTTTAGGGCAAGGCATTTAACCTCTCTCAGCCTGGGCTTCATCTGTACAATGGGAGGTAGTAAGGGCACCAACCTCCCAGCACTGTGAGATTCAAAGGAGTTACTTAGTTGTAAAGTGCTTACAACCAGGAAGTGCTCCGCAACTGGGAAGCATTCCGTGCAAGTCAAGTTCATATCCTGAGCAGTGATGACTGGGATAGAACAGGAATATGGAGCTGCAATATGTAGAAAAGTCCAGGGACTGGGTCACCAAAGTGCTCCCAAGAGCCAGGCTATGCTGATAGCCCTGCTATGCTTACTTGGTTTTATGTTTACAGGGGAAACCAAAGAGAAACAGGGTATTTGTCTAATAGATATTGTTTAACAGACAAATACTCTTGTTTATAAGATAGGGCTTACCCTCTGGCATCTCATTTTCCTGTTATTTTTGCTGTTGGTGGTGGTGGTGTTTGTTTTGTATTAGAAGACCTAGCGTCTAGTTATTAAATTGCACGATATTCATTTACGATCCGTTCCAGACCAAGGCAGTAATGGCAGCAATCCCTAATCACTCCGTGCTCATCTCGAACAGGCCCCAGGCTCGGTCAGACTGTGCTCAACTGCTAAGCTGAGAGCCGGTGGTTGAAGCCCAGCCTGCAGAGAAGTGAAAGACCGGCCTTCGCAGCAGCAGCTCTCCTCTGTGGCACAGGGCTGTTCTTGAAAAGGAATCTAACTAATGGGCCATGGGCGTGGCTATGGCTTTACTATATACCTGGTACCATAAGCAGTACTTTAGATACATCATCTTAGTTTATCCTTAGAGTAATAGAATCTGCATTCTTGAGAAATCAAGATTAGGTAATCTGCCAACCCACCACTCCCCCCCCCACCCCACCCCATGCTCAGAGGATGCAATAGAATGAATTAGCACCGAGGCTTAATTGAGAGATCTTGCAATTACTTGGCCGCAATTGAAAATTCTATAAAGTAAGTGGATGCAAAGTGAAAGCGCTGGTTGCCCTGGCTTAAAATCAGCGCTGGACTCAATAATGAGCTTGCAGATGCTTATAAGAAATACAGTGTGCTCACCCTTCAATTGTTTATGCAAATTCCT